AGTTAGAGCCTTGCAGCTCTTGGTCTTCCCTCCCTGCCTCCCTTCGCTCCTCTCCTGCATACTGGCTGAGCAGTCTAAAAGGCAGGCCTGGTCCTGTGTTTCCCCTACTGACAGCCTTTTGCAACTGCCCTTGTAAGTCCAGACTCCTCAGCAGGCCCTGGGCCGACTGCTTTGCCAAGCTAGGACTTGCACCCCGAGCTCCAGTCCCCTCTATCCAGGCACTTTCCCAGCTGTTTCTCTCCTCTGTCTGGAAAGCCCCGTCCTGTCTCTCCCCCAGCTCTCTGTTGACTCCTTTGTGTTCCCTTCCCTAGGACGGTCTTCCACTAGTGACATCCCTCTGAGGTTTAGCATATGTTCGTGCATGGCATTGGGACCCCACTGGTGAAGATGAGGCTGCTGCCAGTGAGAGGGATAGAGGGACTTGGAGGAGACTGGTGAGACAGGTTCAAGTAATTGCCCTTTTTCAGGAATTCCCTAGGATATATCCATTTTGTACTTCCTGAAATGTAGTGGTTTTTCCTGGAGAGAAATTTCAGTTACATTACTTGGAATTGGCATAAAGATGAAGTGACTTTAGCTTTGAGTGATCAGACTTGTGCTCAAAGGACTAGGCAGTAGACTGAGGGGCAGGACTGGACTGTCAGCCCTGCCCTGGGGCAGTGACTTCCCCTTCGAGGATTCCCATCCCCTTTGGACTCTCCCCAGAGTAATGCAGCAGGGACATGTACACAGTGTATTGTGTGTAATTTCAGGTGGTTCACAGATGGAGTCTGTGGTTACCAAGTTCGGACCTCTGGTATAAGGGTTAGCCTCATTCCTGGGGCTGTTCTCCTCCCTTGCCTTGGAAAGGCAAGAAAGAGGAATGGGAAATCCTGGGTAGTTGAACTGAGTGGGCGGACACTTGTCACGCTTGACGCACAGGCATGAATGAGTCCTGGGCGGGTTGCATCGATGATTTTCAGAAGCTTATACTCCTTCCTCGGTGCTTGCATTGTTGGCAGTGCTGTGGACTTGGGAAGTTGGCCCATAGATGATGCCCAAGAAGACCTTCCCTTTGGCTTTGTGCACTGAGCTGTCCACACCCCAGGTCCTGGAGCTTCCATTTGATGATCTTTTGAACTTGGTGATGGTTTTAAAGCCAGGGAGAGAGATCAGAATTTTGGTTGGGCCCAGCAAAGCATCTGCTTTTCAACCAAGATCTCCTTGTAGACAATGGTCTAGTTGTGATGTCTCAAATGGAGCTGGTTCAGTGTGGGAGAACTAGGTTGCCCAGTTGACACCTTTCACAGCGCCTTCTCTGGAGTTGCTCATGGCTTATAATGTCAAGCACTCTTGTACCTGCTCAGGTGGACCAGTCAAGGATGTCAACTTTGTGGGTGGGACAGCTACATAGCCTCCATCTGTCACCTGGTATCACTTGGTATGATAAGCACTAATACTATATGGACTGTGTGGTTTTGATATGCCAGGTCTGCTTTATGTTTATTTATTCCTCCAATGGCCTGAGTGAAGCTTGGGAATACTACAGTCCCCACTGCAAAATTGGCCATAAGTACATCCATTCTACAGATGGGGTAACTGAGCTCAAAGAGGTACCATGTTAGCAACTGGCAGAGCTGGGACTTGAACCCAAGTTGTACAAAACCCATGCCTCATTTTGTTGAAAACTCATGTACTTGGTGAGGCCAGGCAAATGAAGTGGGCATTTCGTACTGTCCAAAGCCACTATTAATTATTTCCTGTAGGAAAGTAGACTAGTATAGATGTTCCTCACTTTTAACGATGGGGTTATATCCCAATAAACTATTGTAAGTTGATAATATCTTAAGTTAAAAATGCCTTTAATGTTCTTAGGTATGACCATCATAGCTTAGCAACTCAGAACAAATAGGGTGTTGTTTGTTTGCCCTCATGATTCTGTGGCTTGCTGCCACTGCCCAGCCCTCTCAAGAGTGCGTTGTCCTGCCTAGCACTAGCCTGGAAAAAGATCAAAATTCAAAATTTGAAATATGTTTCTGCTGAATGCACCCATAGTAAAGTTGAAAATTGTAAATGGAACCAGTCTATTAGAGACTGTATTGTTTGCTCTTTTGATTGCTCCTAGAAAACTAGAAATCCTGGTTTTCATGTGAAACCTGTTTCTTCAGGTTTTTAAAAGGCACAAACACATCTATGAGTGGATTCAACTGTGGGCCTGGGGATGGGACTCTGCCTCCTCTTTCCCCCTTTCCCTGCTGGAATGCAGGTTCATTGCTGAAAGGTCTCAGACTATCTGGCTTGACCCTTAGCCATTAATGCTTCCTATTTCACCAAAAAGATAGGCAGGCCCGGACAGGTGAGGAACTGTAGTGTCGGGCTAGCTGCAGGGAGAGCAGATCTACACTCTAGAGTCTGTGATTGTGAGAGCAATCTGGGTTCAGAGTCTGGTTCTGCCCAGCCTACCCCTGCTCCAGAAGCCACGGGGACCTTCTGCTGTCTGTCACCACACACTGAGCTACCTTTGGCTATTAGAATAGCTTTTGAATCTTTCCTAAGGTGACCTGGAAACTAGGAGAGTGTTGGGGATGCTCTTTGTGTCTGGGTTTGAAATTTGTTGCTGTCATGTAGAGACAGGAGACTGTGTTCATGACCAGGAAGATTTGACTACACTCATCTCGGTATGGGGTAAGAAATGGTGCAGGGGACAGGTGTACCCTCTACCAAATGATGACGTTCGTGGAGGTAGACATCACAATTTGGGGCACAAGGAGGGCTGGCAGAGGACAAAAACTTCCACTTCTGCTCTTTACGAAAAAGAAACAAGTTGCATCAGAGAGGACAGAAGTGAGAAATGCACTTACTCAGCTCGCTGACTTCCGTGGTGACTGTTTCTTGTCTGGACATGAAGATGGACAGGGGAAGCAGCAGCCCCATCTGACAGTTTTGTTCGGGTAGAGGTTGTCTAGTTAACCCCAAGACTCCCTGCTTTGCACACAGTTGCGTGGGAGCAGAAGCTCCGAATTCCTTGTCCTGTTTGTCCTTGGAAAACTTAGCTCGGGAGTGTCAAAGACAGCTGTGCACCCCACGCAAGACTGGAGGTTCAAGTGCTCTGAACTTATGCTGGCCTGGCCCCACATCTAGGTGGTCCTTCTCAGCACCTCGGCCCAACAGAGCAGTCCCTGCAAACACTGCAGAAGCTGGCACCCAGGGGACTAGTGATGCGAACTGTCTACCTCAACAATTGCCCAGATCACTCCTCAGACTGTCATTTCTGTTACAAGACATTTTCCACAGTTTGAGATCCAACTTCCAAGCAAACTTTTGGAATGCTCCATGTGTGTATACTGGGGACTTCCTGTGTGATATTTCTGGGCATTACAGCCAGGCGCTGTTGTTGCCATCTGTCCTGGCTTTGCTGGGTTGGATTTCCAGAGCCCCAGACTGTCTCCTGCAATAAAATCCAAATTAAGGATGAGGTGGATCCCATCCACAGCCCCCATCTATCTCCTGGTATAGCCAGCTAGCTAGGAGGTCAGCCCAACCAAACCAGGCCAGGAGGAAGTCCCAGAACCTTCTCTGTTGTGTGAGCCTGCCTTAGGGCACAAAGTCACTAGCTTGGTTTATGCACGAGGCCTGGCTCTGCTTGGCTCGAGATCCCAACTCAGGTTGGTGGGCTTCTTTCAGGCTGACTATAGGGTGTTACTATGGTTCTAGTGTTACTCTCCTTTCCTGTACCTTAGTGTCCCTCTGTGTGAGCCCTGCCAGGCAGATTGAGGCCAGAGGTCCTAGGATGCATTTTGTTTTAGGAAAGTCTGTTTTCCTTCTTCTGTTGTGGTTTCTCAGCATGATTCTACAGCTTCCATCTGCTTCCTCCCTGTCCAGGAAGAGGCAGATTTCCCAGTGAGAAAAGTGGGCAAGGATCTAGGTTTCCTGTGAAATGGATCTGGATCTTTAGGACAGTGGCTGGAGGCATCCCACCTTTAGAGATGAGCAACATCATCCCACCAGGATGTTGGGTCAGGTCCACCACCCATAAGCAAGTGTGGGGAGCTTGGGGGTGGGGGGACTGAGGCGAGACTTCAGAGCCTCTGTGTGTGGGATGGGGCCTTATTCAGGAGGTGCCAGCTGTCTGTGGTGACACCAGCTGTCAAGGGGCCCCAGCATTTCCTGGAGCCTTAACTCAGCAGATAGCTGCCAAATCTTGTGAGACTGAGAAACTCAGGGCTGGAGGGTGAAGATACTTCTAGGAAAGTGAAAATGTCATTGAGGGTCAACTGCAGAGGTACTCTAGAGCCAACTGGCTGTGGTCCTCCTCTCCTTATTCACTTCCCAGCCTTCTCTTACTGGGATGCAGGTAGGTAGGGCTGATGGTCATAGCGTCATTTGAACTCACTGCAGCTGATTTTCTTAGTGAAAGCAAGTCAGTTGCGCAAGTCACTGATGACTACCTTAGCCAAAGGTAGTTGGTGGTACACCTCGTGGCTGATTGCGTATCAGGCTTGAGAGCCAGGGGCTGTGGACAGCTCGTGGCTCAGGCCTGTGTTTCTCCAGTGTACTTGTGTTTCTCTGTTAGCCTCTCATCCCCAAATGTGGGACAGTGTTTACAGGGGAGGAAACCCAGAAGTCCCTGCTCAGTAGAGCTAGTTGGGTGAGGCACATGGCTTCCCACTGGAGGGATGTGTGAGTTGACTCTAGGTCAGGGAGTCCAGCCACCTGTCTCTGTCTCTCCCTCAGTTGGCTGGTTTGATGTGTTCACTGGAGCTCCACCTGCCTGCCGGTCTCCTGATGATTCTCATGCCACCTCTTCGAGGTCACAGATTGGAACCCAGGGAAGGCCCTTCGTGTATCACTGTGCTCAGACGAGAACAGCAGCAACATGAGTAGAACACAGGCGGAAAACACTCCTGACACCCTGCCTGGTACGACAGCAGTAAGTTAGGCTAGAACATGGAGCCTCCTGGCCTCTGAATTCTTTAGGTCCACACGCGTCCTCCTAGGGGTACATCTGTGGCCCAGGACCACATGTGAGGCAGAGAATGAGGAAGAGAAGAAAAGAACATGCGCCAGAGTTGGCAGTGGTGCAGTCACATCCTGGTGGACTGCCTTCTTGGATTTCTCCACTGACTCGGGTCAGTGCGTGGAGAGGTGCTGATAGCGAGGGTGAGGAATTGCTGCTGCAGGGTTCCGCCTCTCCCCATGGGTATCCTGGGATGAGCGTTGCAGGCAAGCAGAGCTGTCCTAGGGGGTGGGGAGGGAGACTCCTCCTGCCTGAGCAGTGCTCTCATTGGACAGCTCTGGGCCTCTGTATCCTGATCTATGAAATGAGGTCATGAGGCCAGGCTTCTAATGGCTCGGGAAGAGTCATTTCACTACTCCTCTGCACCACTTCCTAAGCTTCTTTCTGCCAGTGTCCCCTCTGAAAGGCTGCTCTCTCCAAGACTCAGCCCCCGCTGGGGACGTCCATGGATCTTGGCCAGCTCTTTATATTGTCACTGTTCTGGGTTCAAGTTTGGGGCTGAAGTGTGACTTCCCAGCAGGCGGTAGAGATGGGAAAGCCCGGAGGCCCTGCAGCTTCCCTGTCTTGCCTCTGCTCTTGTGAGGCAGGGAGTCAGAGGCTTCTGGGCTCGGCTTATGTTCTCCAAGGAGGACTTGGAATGAACCCCAGGCATAGAGGGGTGAGGTCAGTGGTTTGCTCAGCAAGAAGGCCCCAGTTAGTGAAGACCTGTCACAGCTCCCAGAATCCCTGGCCTCGGTCCCTGGCTCTAGCTCCTCCCCACCTCATCTTCAGGGAGATGAAAATCAGTGATGTGGATTTATTTACTGAGTTTCTTCCCTGTGTCAGTGTAGGAGGCACACATTTATTTTATCCCCAGCCTCCATGATGGCTTTTGTATACGTTTTCACCACTACTCACCATGTACTACATGAGGTATCTGAGTAAACTCAAGCCCAGAGCTGTGTAGTAAATTCTCACCAGGCTAGTGAGTGGTAGATGTGAAGCCATGCCGTCTCGATTGGGAGGCCTGTTCGTTCCACTGTACCACACTGCCAGGCTGGTAGGACACCAGAAGCGTGTACAAAGAGCTATGTGACTGTCCTAGTCCCCAGTGATACCATAGCGGCCAAATCTGTGGTCTGGACAGGGGTGCCTTTATGTGGGGACAGTGGGGGCTTTGTGGTACTATATAAAGCCATCCACCAGAGTCCCTAAGTGCAAGTGCAAAAAGTCTTTTTGAAGCTTCTCTCTCAGTCTTACTTGCGGTTTTGTATTTGGCTCTAGAATTCAGCCTTGCTTAAGACAATGATTTAAATTTCTTGCGCCTGTGTAAATCTGACCCTGAGAAGGTGTGGTGGTTAGGGTAGAGTGTGAGCTTGATGGGCTCTGGGATCCACCCCAGGGATTGGTGAAATGTACATGGCCTTGGGAGTCCCTTTCTGGTCCCTGGCCGCTCTCCTCTCTGGTACTGCTCCCCTGCTTTGCTTCCTAGCCGTTATGTACTAAAGAGCTTTGCTCTGCCGTGGAGCCTACCCACCGAAACTGTGAGCCAGCTTAATCCTCTTGGTTGTTTCGAAGTGACTTCCTGTACCCCTGGCCTCCTTTACCTCCTGGAGGGCCAGACAGCCCAAGTAAAAGATGGTGGTGGCATCTTGATGTCGAGGATGAAAGCACATCACTGGGGAAAGGCAGGGGATGCTAGAGAGGCAGGCTACAATGAGGGGCCCAAGTAGGGAGTAAAGGCCAGTTTGGGGCAGTGTTATGAGAGGCTCAAGACAAGATTGTCAACCCTAAGGGTTCTGCTCTTTTCCTGTAGCAGAGAGGGACAATAGGTAAGAGAAGCTGGCCCACTATATCTATGGATTTTACACCTGCAGATTGAAAATTATTAAAAAGTTGGGTGAGGCAATCCCAGCATTCCGGAGGCTGAGGCAGGAGAATCACCATGAGTTTGAGGCCAGTCCAGTACGCCACAGAGTGAGTTCAAGGCCATCCTGGAGTACATAGCAGGACTCTGTTAAAAAAAAAAAAAAAAAAAGGAAAACAACTTTCTGGAAGCTATTTTTGTTGACTAATGCAACCTCTTCTCTAATTCCATCACTATCTTCATATTTGTATTACAGTCAATATCATATACTAATAGAAGACAAAAATTGTTAGGAAAGCCCTGTCTTTCTCCTTACCCATTCATAATTCTTCAGACACTGAAATTTAGTTGCACATGCAATCTTCAAGTTCAACAGTGTGCTATGAGGATTGCTCAGATTACCCAAATGAGCTAAAATGTTTGGGGAGCTCACATTCTCAAAGTTTTCTATCTTGTTAAATGTAAAGGCTGGCTGTACCCAGTGCCAAGAAAGAACGACTCTAGACTTTTTTTAAAAAAAAAAAAAAAAAAAAAAAAAAAAAAAAACACAAAAAAGAAACCCTATCTAAACTAAACATATACCCAATTTTTCTTACGATTTCCTAAATCATACAGTGTAATAACTATATTTACATAGCATTTACATTGTACTAGGTATTATAAGCAATCTAAAAGATAAGTATAGGTGAGCAGGGCCTGATGTCCCATCTGCTTGGAAGGCTGAAGCAGGCCAGCCTAGGCAACAGATTTTTCTCAAGTAAATTTACTAGTTAAAGTATATGTTATATGCAGATACTGTGCCATTTTATATAAAATGCTTGCACATCTGAAGACCACACTGTGACTCTTGTGTCCTTGGTTTGCTCAACAACACGCAGGCCTGCTAGGAGGATCCAGAATGGAGAGGAAGTTCCTGCTCACAGAGAGTGAAGTGTGGGGCGCACCCACAAATGTGGGGTTCCAAGTGCAAACTGATAGTATCTGTGGTAAGGGAATTAGCTGTGAAAACCCCGAGTAGGTGGTGTGGGTGAGTTTGGGAAGGAACTCAGCATGGATTCAGGTGCCAGTCCATGCTGTCGGTGCAGGTGCTGAAAAGAAAAACAGGGAGGTGGGATGGGGAGCGGCTCTGTCCAAGGAGCACTGATGGGAGGACAAGGGGACCAGTTACCTGTGGGAACTGGAAGAGGGCGGAGCCGTTAAAGATACTTTAGGAAGGAGAACCTGGGAAGTTAGGCAAATAGAAGCCGATTAGGGAAATGACCCAGCTTCCTGAGAAAAGGGGAAGCGCTGGCTGGTTCTCTGGCCAACTGGGCTGTGTTCCTTAGTCAGGCCTCGATTAGCAATGAGTGGGTCATTAGCGCCATGAAATGCACAGATGTCGCAGAAAAGATTACTGCTCATCCCAGTAACAGTCACACTTTTGAACTTTTTGTCCAGGTCTCTGTGGGGCAGGCACATGACTCACTGCTGAGCCCCTCCTAACCTCTGTTGGTGATTAGCAGAGGGGAGAGGCCAGGGAGCCGCCCTGTTCAGTAACAGATCCACTTGCCTGGAGGAGCTGATTTCAGGAAGGGACTGGAGGCGGATTTGGAACAGCTGAGGACATTTCCAGGACATGAGTCTCCTGGGCTGGAGGCTGGCTTTCTGTCTGTACATGAATCTGTGTTTTACCCATTGAACTGGGATGGGCCTGGAGTCGTACCTTCAACTTGACCTTAAAAGGTCCAGAGTCTCTGGGAGATCCAAAGAGGTGGATGAAATCTGACTAAGGAAATACATCCTTGATATTCTGGGACATCTCAGAGAAGGAGTGGCCTGCTGATCTTGGCCCAGAGTCTGAGTTCTTTATGGTAGGAGACTGCTGCTCTCCAGCCCTGTACTGTGGGCTGTGTCTGTAGCTGGGCCTGGAGTGTGCCTGTGCCCAGAGTGAACCTGGGCCACCTCTACTTTTTCTTACCTTCTACTGCATAATCTCCTAGAGCAGTCAGGTGGGGAAGCCAGGAGCCTGCTCAGTGGGGCCAGTGTGGTGCCTGCTACAGAGGGGGCCTGGCACAGTTGGGCTTCTCCCCGGAGCTCAGGGTGACTTCTTGAGTTGCCTTTCAGCCTTTATTCTCTCAGATCTCTGGTTACTTGTGCCCTGTGACCTTGGATACAAGCCAAGCACGCAATAATGAAAGTGAACCTGCCTGTGTACTCCTGTGCAAGGCTTTCAAGGCAGGGCTGACAGCAGACAGGATACTGTCATCTAGCACATAGGAAGCTGTGAAGGAACCGCCTTATTCAGATGACCAGCCCTGTTCTACCAGTGGTAGATTGGAAAACCCTCCGCCTTCTCCCCTGGTTTCCTGTGTGTCACCCCCAGGTCATGCTTCCTTCAGGCTGCCAGAGTAAAATGGCAGTTCCTGTTCAGTAGGCATGAGTCAGCTGAGGAGAACTGGTGGCTGAGTCTTCATAACCTCCAGGCATGGTTATTAAATATTTAAATGACACTGTGTATGGATCGCTTCTCATCCATTCCCTTAGGGAGAGTAGTTGCTGTCTGGGATTCAGATAATAGCAGTATCTTGGATTTAGACAAACTCCCAAGGAGCTCAGCTGTACTAAATAAATCTTACCCATATAATATATAACATCCCCACCTCAGAGTTTGCTACCAGGAATGGGGACAGATCAGGTGCTGCCCATTTTACCGATAGAAAAAACATATCCAAAGAGACTATCAGGGCATCCTGTAGGCCAGGCCTGGAACATGTGCCCAGGCTTCTACTCAGCATTGGCTGTTTGCTCTGCTCACTGTTCCTTCCCTATTCTCCTCCTCTTCATAGTTTCTCTGTCATCCAACTATTCATTCTAGCTGTTGGAGTCCCTGATCTATGGAGTTTAACACTTGGAGAGGACAGAGTTGACAGAAGCCCAAATTGGCAGGGAAGGCCTCTCCAGGAGGCTGAGTTCCTAGTCAGTGTGCAGGCTCAAGGTCTCTGGGCTGGGTGGGGTCAGAGTAGATGTGGCCTAATTGTGGAGTTGCCCTTACTGGCCATAGATCTGCCTCTCATCTGAGGAGGAGGACGGTTATCAGGATAAATATACCCAGCTCCCCATTCCTAGGGAGTTAGTCACCCAGTAAAAGCACCCTGCTGTGGATTAGATTACCTCCGCTCTAACTGCTCTTGTGCCCTGGCCTGGGGGAGGGGGAGGAACTCAGGGCCAGGGGAGTAGGGAGACCCGCCTTCCTGCTCTGCTCCCTTCCTAATCTGGAAGAGTTTTACCAAAGGGGCCCAGATGAGACCATCTCTTAGCTAGTCCTGCTGTTTACATAGCTCCTTCCTTAGGAAAGGCCAAGCCCGCTTACTGCTTATATCCCTGGGCTTGCACAGAGCTGTAAGGGGCCCCAGAAGCTTCTGTGACACTCAGGCCACCAAGACTGCCCAGGTGGCCAGCAGGGGGGCCAAACCTTCCCTTGCTGAGAACCCTCTGTGTGGGGTGGGACCGGGTGGGGGACTCCCAGAGCTTCGACTGTCTGCCTGGGTTTCACAGGATTTGGCAGGCAAACACCGTGGCATGGGGCAGGTGGGAAGGCCATGATGCCTCTTGCTGCCTGTGCTGGGGCTTGCAGGGGACACGAGCACATGTCAACAGCTCAACTCTTACGGAAGCTGTGCCAGGCACTTCTGGGGCCATGAAAGCTGAGTTAAATTGGCCTGCAGAAAGATGTGAAAAACAATTTGTGCTTGGTGAGGGCCTCTCCTCAGCTGGGCATCATGAGAGGGGTCTTACTAATGGTCGGAGGACCATACCTGTTCTAGAGCTGCCTGGAGCTGTTGCTGCAGGTGCCTGGAGTGAGCAGAATAGGCCAGGTGGCAAGGGCCCCCCAGGCAGGGAATTCTGCAAACCCTGGGAAAGGATGAGAGCTGCCTAGGTGCCTTCCATTTACCTGTCCCAGCTGTGGGTTCTGTGGTGGAGGCCAGAATGGTGCTCTTGATGCTGGCCTAGGACTGGATTGTAGCATCCTTACCCTTGGGTGGGATGGGATAGGAGGTGCCTTCTCTTTCTGGGGCTGAACCTTTCTCTGGTAGGGAGTTCTTGTCTGCTCAGCATCTCCCATTTACTGACTGTGCTCTCTTCCAGGCCCCATGCTAAGCCAGTGCTTTATGTCTATTTTCTTGTTTAATCCTAATTCTGTGTATAAAATGGTGGCATTCCCACAGGGCAGGCAAGAGAACCAAGGCACAAGAGCCATGGAACAGTGTATCCAAGTAGTTTAGTCACTGAGCGGCTTGTGTGGCTCGGAATCCTGCTGTGCAAGTTGCGTTGTCCAGTGACTGTGGAGAGCCTGTGAGGAGAGAATGGAAAAGCTCTGTGTTCTCCGCCTCTCCTACATTTGAGCCGTCCCGGATGGACTTTTAGCTCATCTCTTGGCACCTGTCCAAATCCAGGCCTCTGATCTTCGCAGTCCTTATCACGCTGTAATGTGGTGGTCAGGCCTGGGTAGGAGGAAGAAGCCCCAGTTTGTGGGAGAGCCCTGACATTTCTTTGCTCTACTTGAAGGTGGGGGTAGAAAGTTTCATTGATCTCTCTCTCTCTCTCTCTCTCTCTCTCTCTCTCTTTCTTTCTATACTGAGGATTAAACCCAGGGCCTCCTACATGCTAAGTATGAGCTGTACTACTGAGCTCCACTCCCAGCCCCATTGTTACCTTGGACCGTTTATTGAACCCAGTATTGTCAGTGTGTCGGCCTAGGTTGCCAGAGGATGGTCTGGGGGGCATGCCCCACATTGAGGGTGTGTGTGTGGGGAACCCCTGGTTTCCTCCACTTTGGGCCCCTGAGCTGATAAGGGAACTTGAGGGGTACAGCTGCAGCATTTCCCAGGAATGCTGGCCGACCGGCCCCTCCAGTCTTAGGCAGATGGTGGGTCAGGGATGTCTGCATCTTTTTTTTTTTTTTTTTTTTTTTTTT